CGAATCGTACGGTGTCGAATAATTTGGTGTCGAATAAATCTGTGTCGAATCGAGCGGTGTCGAATCGTACTGTGGTCAAACGGAACCCGCCCAAAGGAGGGCTCTGCCTAGAGGATTATAGCCCTCGAGGCAGAGATGGCTGGCTTTTGCGAGAAGGTCCGAAAATCTCGGGCTGATCTCACAAAGGTCATCCAGGGAAAGGATGATCTGCAAAACGAAAGGGACGAAACGGTTTACGACGTCTGCGACAGCACCGTCGCAAGATATATATGCGTGGCATATTGGAGGGTCACTTTAGGAAATGGTGTATTTCCGTTCCGAAGGACCTCTGACTTTCCCGCTGTTCTCTCCCGGCTTCCTGTTGCGGGTGCTGGGATAGAAACGCTAGCGAGAAAGGGGAAGAGTCCGTGGGCTGCGTCTGCAGCCCGTCCCAGGGTCTCGTCCGTGTTTGTCCAGACGCGGGGCGAGACGAAGAGGAAGCGGTAAAAGAGCCCTTTCAAGTAAAGTGGAAGCTCTCTTGGTGGCCCGGCTGGGAGCGTTCTGAGAGCGGATCTCTCAACGTTTCCCAGTCGGACCAGGTGGTGTGGCGGGGCTCCGCGAAGGAAAGACCACGTGTCTTTCCCTGGTGCCCGCACAGAATCAGAGAGCATCTGAGGATGTTTTCCTGACGGTGTCACTCACTCGTCATGGGTGGGTGACGGTTCCGGGCCGGCGTGCGCGTCAAACACTTTGTGTTAGTGAAAGTGCCGCCGGTCCAACACCTGCCTTCTTATTACCCGTTTTGGGCGGCAAGGTGAGGGGAGCACGGAGAAAGAGCGGAGAGAGGAACGCTCATGAGCCCCACCTTCAACTTCTCCCTGTCCAAAGGGGAAGAAGAAAGTGGGTTTGTCCGGGATGGGGCGTGTTCCGTCGCGTGCGACGGTCACGCTCTCCATCCCAGAAGGGAGCACTGCTACCTACGCAGACGTGCTCTTCTAGGTTCTGGAAGAGGGGACGCTCTGGTGCTCTCCTATTTCCGGGGAGGTCGGTTGGAAGAGTCTCTTCTGGAGAGGCAGCGGTGGAGATACTGCGGAAGCGGGAATGAGAGTTTGTTCTCTCATATCTTTTCAAGATACTAAACTTGCGGCTCTTCAAAGTAAGGTTTGCAAGTTGACAGAAAATCTGAGCCTCGCGAATCAGGTTTATCGCGACGCTGTAGAGGGAGGTCTCTACACATTGAGGGCCGATGGTTTGAATGAGACCAAATACGGCCACCTTAAAAAGGTGGTAAAGGACAGCCTTTACCTCGGGGTGTAGGGAATTCCCATCCCCGAGAACATTGAAGAGATTACCACGGTTCTTCCTCGGCCCCCGTCTCTGGGTGGCGGGACGGGAGCCAAGGCGGCGATAAAACAGCGGCTAAAGGGGGCCTCAGTGGAGGCCCGCCCAAAGGTGTCCTCCGTGTCCGTGCAAACGATCAAGCCGCGAAGGGGCCAGGTGAAGCGGAGACCCTGCAGGATGGAGGGTCTCTTGGAGGCTCGGTTGGGGAAAAGTCTCCCGGCTCCTCCCGGTCGAGTCTCGCGGAGGTGGCAGCATGCTTTCGGGGAAGGGGACTGATGGTCCCTCCCGGATGCCTGCTGGTGACAGTCGCTTTTCCCCTCCGGAGCACCCTCTCGCAGCGCGACAGGGGGCTGGTTTGCGCGTCGGACGCGTGGGGGCGTCGGCGCAGTCGCCCCAAACCCCGGTTTTAGCCTCGTGAACTCGGGGCGGGAGGGAAGAGCACGGGACGGTACGAGGGTAGGTGGTGGCTCGCGGACCCCATCGCTCTCGGTTGGCAAAGGCCGGAAAAGAAGGAAGGCGCAGCAGTAATTGGATGGGTGCCGTCGAGGGCGGCAGTCTCTCTCTCCAATGCCGCGGGCAGCACCCTGACATACTCAGAGATACTGCGGCAGGCGGTGCGACTTAATGTCAAAGGTGTGAAGGTATCGGGGGTACGTCCCTCTGCAACAGGAGGGCTGGTACTTGAGGTACCAGGGAGGGGTGGTTACGGCGACACGATTAGCCGATAGTCTGACCACTTTCTTCGGTGAAAATGTTTGGGTGGCCAGACCCCAGAAGTTCGAGGAACTTCACGTAAAGGAGCTGGTTACCTCGATTTCCAAGGAGGACTTGGCGTCTTCTTTGGCAACAGACGGTGGCTACCTGCGGGAGGAAGTTAAAATGGGTGACGCCCGCTTCACTCCCGCGGGCATTGGAACGGTGTGCGCGCCTCCCGCTACGGCGCGTCGCGTTATTAACGCGGGGAAGGTGTGCATTGGGTAAGTCACGTTGCCGATGAAGGCGTCGGCGAGCCCGTCCAATGCAATATTACCGCTGCCTAAGGTTTGGTCACTCTAGACAGCAGTGAACGGGAGTGGAGCGTCCCCTGTGCTGCTACAGGTGCGGCAGTGAGTTGCACCTAGCACGGAGGTCGGAATTATACTTAAATATTTTAATGCTATATCTTTTAATCTGGAATGCATATTCATTAGCCAATATTTTAATGGATTATCATCCATTTTAATTGGTGGTTGATTTAAATAATATTTAAGTTCATCTGCCATTGTAAAATCGTTATGTTTTGACTTGGATATATTAACTAAATATTCATGATACATCCAAAAATTATCACTTTCTATCGAATTATTGTGCACGTTTTGATAATTGCTTTCATCTAAGTCTTTCGCGTTTGTATTATTTATCATTTGCGTGATTTTGTTAATAGAATGAGCACACGCAATTTTATCAGAAAANTGAATGTTTTTAAATCGAGGATCTAAAATGGAGGATATCGCCAATGGCTGAACTTTTTCAATATTAATAAATCTTTTTGAGAAGTGANGTTCTAATTCAATTTTAAAGTGAATACCTATTTCAGTATTTGGTACAAGCATATACAATTTGTTTTTTAGCGTATTAATAATCGGAATCACTTTGCTGCCAGTAAGATAATCTTCACCGCACATAATTTTAGTNNCTTCTTCAAACGGTTTTAATAATTGAACAAATTCTCTTGCAGCTTGCAATTCAGATGCATTTAACATTATTGGTGCTGTAGGTTGGTTCAGAAGAATACCACTTACTTTATCTGCCACTTCAATAAACCGTTCAAGCATGTCATAAGTCGAATTCCATCGAGTTTCGACACTTTGTATTAATTTGAGATTTGACTGAGCTCGCAATTCATCTGCAGCAACTACAGAATGTTTAAAGTACGTAACAATATTTTTAATTTTTTTACAGAATTCACTAACAATAGCATCATCTTTAATAATATTCGATGGAATTAAATTTAAAGTGTGTGCGAAACACGGCAAGTNTTTTTCAGTACCAAACGCTTCTGTAATTGCCTTTTTTATATTGGCTGCATTATCGGATACAACAACTATAATGTTTTCTTTATCTATGTTCCACTCACATATTATATTTAACAACCACAGTTTTATGTTATCAGAAGTATGTCGATNGTTTAATTCTATAACACCAATAGTCACAGATTTATATGTTTCTTTTAATATATAATGAGCTGTTATGCCTAAAAAGCTTTTTGTATTTATCGTGTCTGTCCAAATGTCGGTTGTTAAACATAAATTTTTAATGTTTAAAAATTGAGTTTTTATCATACTTGACAAAAATTCATATTTCTCTTCTATTAGGCTCGTAATTTTTTTCCGGCTAGGAATTTTGTACAACGGTGCTATTGTCTTCATGAAAGTTTTAAATCCTTCCTTTTCTACTGTTGCAAATGGCAAATTATCTTTTGCAATCATAAAAATGAGATTGNTAGTAAATTCAGCCGCTTTTGTTCCTCCATCTACAATTAAGAAAAAACANGAAATAAAATAATTAATATTATAACTGAAATTTTCAACAAATTACTTTATAAAAAATACTATTTACAACTTTAAATAATAAAACTTATAAATATACATACCATAAAATGATTTTTGGTTTTNAAAAGTAGAATCAAGAGTAATTTGCTTCTTTCTCACAATTGGCAATGACAACACTGATGACTCTGATTGTGAATGACTTGACATACCTGACATTATTGATAAAGACGAAGAACTAGGAGATGAAATAACTGGTAAATTAAAATCGTCATCTACAATATTTTTATTGGTTTTATCTTGTAGCTAAAATGTGTTACAAAATGTATTAATAATATTATTTTATGTTATAGTATAATAAATTTAATGTAAGAAGTTTTCTATATNCAAAGTAATTATGCATTTATTACTATAATTTTTCTCTGTTTTGCTGAGGTTGAAAAGTCTGTGTCTGTTGTATCAATATCAGTTTTGTCNTTCATTTGAAACTGAAGCTTAGGATGTGCTCGAGTTAAATGAACACGTAAATTTGTTGTATTTCCCGAAGTTTTTATAATTTTTTGGCAAATATTACATTTACCACAACCTTCACTGGTTCGAATAAAATATTTCCAATATTCACTTCTNGANGGCGGCACTGTATATAGAAAAAATAGAAGCAAAAAGAATATTAATTAAAAAATAAAATGATAAAGACTAATACTAAAATAATGTGTATAAATGAAGTAATGCATGAGATAAATACTGTTATAAAATAAGTGCAAGCATGAGACAAGTAGAAAGCAACAGGAATGTTAAATTAAGACTTAGATAATTCTTCCCCAAATTTCCAGACCAGTTATGATATATATGTATAGTAAAATATCATGCATCTATNTACATGCATATATATATTATACATATTATCTGCAAAATTAAAAAAATATTACCAAATAGAAACCATTATACACTGGATATACAAAACAGTATAAATACAAAATGCAAACAGTGACAAATTGAAACAGACATGCATTTTTAAAACAAGTGAGAATATTTAAATAGAAACCATTATACACTGGATATACAAAACAGTATAAGTACAAAATGCAAACAGTGACAAATTGAAACAGACATGCATTTTTAAAACAAGTGAGAATATTTAACTATTCGCAATAAAATTATACTTATGTAAAACATTATCAGTAAATCATAATTAATAAAAATAAAGTACCTACCACTTTGTTTATATTCTTGTGCAACTGACCGTTTGCGACTGTGATCAATCAATCAATGTTGTACTGGCTTAGTGGGCATAGAAAAGAAACTCATATGCCAGTTGTGTGTTCAAACGTAAATTGTTCGATGTACATGGAATGGTATAAGACACTAATTCTTTTCAAAAAAATTTTGCGTCACTGCGTCACTNCACATGTGGTAGTTCAGGTGCAGNGGAGCGACTCTCTACGAAATAACCGCGTACAGTTCCAATATAACACAATATTTCAAATGTTTAAAACGTACAAAACGCATTTCTAACAACAAAAGCNAAATAGTGANGACAAAGAGNACAACAAANCCACTACAGCGTGTATTTTTAACTNCGCAGCCGGGGCGAGCGCACGCCACACGGCCACATTCGCGCGCTCGCGCGAGCATAAGACCACGCGATAGTCACGTGAGCAACATTGAGGGTAGGTTATGGCATAGTTTCAACAAAGAGAATCCAGAAACGCTTGGGATATGTTCAAAAAGTAACTGTGGGTAACCTTAGCTGCGTTTCGATATTCACTGCCGCCGACAGTCTGCCAGTATTGAAAATCTATAGCACATGTGACGTAAAATATAGATTTTAGTACTGGCAGTGAATATTAGAACGCAACCACGCTGCTACGATTAATGGGTGCGTTCAGACAACTCAACAGTTGCACAACGGTTGAGAGTTAATCACTTCTGATTGGATCATACTTTTGGAACCGTAGCAGATTTTGAAGAATAGTCCTATCATAAGTGATGATCTCTCAACCGTTGAGTTGTCTGAACGCACCCAATAATAACCGGTTAATTGTGGAACGTATCCCTGCGCGGTAAAACGACACAGTATCGGAATTTCGATAATCCTATTCAAACATCGATATATGTTAATATCAGAAAAAAAATATCGATATAAAATATCGATAATAGAGTTCGAAAGTATCGATATTTTAATATATCGATATTTATCGCCCATCACTGCCTCGGGCCATAGTTGCAAACTCGAGCCGGCTAGCACCGAGAGCACCGAGGTGTTGGGAGCCACTGGGAACACGCACACAAGTGAGAACCGCCATCCGTGTGTGTGTTCCACGCACACGGATGGCGGTTCTCACTTGTGTGCGTGTTCCCAGTGGCTCCCAACACCTCGGTGCTCTCGGTGCTAGCCGGCTCGAGTTTGCAACTATGCCTCGGGCTTGCAATTGCCTGCTCGATCCTCGATTGCCATGCTCTGCACTCTGCAGTCTTCCACGAGCACCGGTCGAGCGCGAGACAGTTACGTGCGTGATGGTAGTGTGGTTTGTTTGTTGTTTTTTTTTTTTTTTGAGTGTTTGTGTGTTATTACGGTATTTGTCATTTTTGGTTTGGAAAGAAAGAGAATGAGTTCTGGTAAGTGTAAAGCCGCTAATATTTGTATAAATTAAATAGAAACGTGACTTTAGTGCATGTTGCTAATATAAAAGTTTGTTTGTTGCAGTCGGAAGTGACATGTTACATATATACATTATTATATATATGTATATATTTTTTATGTTTCAGATTTTACAGCACAAGAGCAAGGAAAGAGTATTTATGCGATATTTGCAAAAAACGTGACGGATGGCGTGGTAGCGGAAGAGAGTGGCGAGGCAAAAGAGGGTGGCAAATTGAAAATAATAGGACAACTTCAAGAGGCAGAGAGACAGATACTTACAACAGAGGAGGGCTGCACGCCCGTGTTATTAACTACAAAATTAATAATATCTATAAGAAATAACAGGTAAGAAAATAGATGNTAATTTACTTATCTTATATTACACACTGTCTACTGCTATAGACACCATCTTTGAAATAGTGAAAGATCTGATGAAAATACAGCACGTCACCTGTTTCAGCAACGGCTTCAACTCCTGAATCAGCACAAAATCGAATGTCAGGAAGCATTGTCCGCAGTGACAACGGAGGAGGAACAAGCAGCAATAAAGAACATGGCATTACAGAAGAAACACAAGGGCGAGCTGAAGGAATTATGGATATAATAAAGTTGGTGTTGCAGCTGGATCAGAAAGTAAACGGATCAACAGAGCATACTGGAAAAGGCAGGTGTTCCTGGGTTCTATGTGACGAACAATCCAACAGAAATTCAAGTACAGATGAGACTGTGAGATTTTATAATAAGACTTAGTAAAATGGACGTACCAAGTTAATATAGTATTTCTCGCATAATTTAAGAGATACTTTATTATATTTGTAATAAAATTTATATATTATNAGAAAGTTTTTTTGTGTTATTTTATTGATATGAATTTATTATATGAATTTCTCTGTTTGTTGTCGCAAATAATTGCAGTCTTTAGGTGATATTTTTTCTAGAAAGAAGAAACTCACAAGATTTATTATAAACAATTATTATTATTATAAAATACTTTATTTAAATTAAGATTATTTTGTACAGTGCATATGTTACATTATCTTATCATAACACTTAAGTAAAATGTATGTAATAGTGTTTTTCTGTACGCTTTAAGAACAAATGTATTTTTTGTTAAGTTACGGTTGGTCCAAGAACATTATATTTGCAATATTTCAATCTTATAAAATAAAATCAATTTTGTAACTATTTTATATCATCATAATATTATTAACTATTATGTATTAATTTTGTTATTTACACAAACATCAATATCACAATATCTATATTTAATTATATGATGATACATGATAGAAACATTTTAAATAAAATAATTTTATATATAAAATCAAAACTTGAATTGCAATGTTTGGAGATTTTTTTAATCAACTGTAGTAAATTTTTTGATGAAAAAAATAAACTTTTTACGAATAACTATTTATACTATAGCTGTAACAAAAGACTGTCGTCTTTTAAGACATTAACAAAATATAAAATATCTTAACTTTTTTGTTTATACGTACATTATCGCAAAATAATTTGTGTGCGATTGTGTGGTATCATATATGCAGCAAATAAAAGTTTTTGCATGATTGTTTTCTGTTCCAAGGAAATAAACATAATCGAAATCTGATATATATGTAAAATTTAAACCTCGCTTATTTTCGGCTCTTTGTACAAAAGTTTGCAGCTTATTGAAGCGAAATAAAATTATGTCCACCGCACATAGCACGGAATAGAACCATGTCCACCACACATAGCACGGAATAGAACCATGTCCACGTTTGGACATAGCGTACGCACCGACAAGTCGCTCGTGGACATGTCTGCGTAGTTCCAATGTGCACCACCCGTGGACATTCGCTAGTGTACGGGGCGATTTTGCTATGACAGAAACTCTTATGGCCGTGGCCGCTCTGAGGCTTCTCTCTGGTGCGCATAATGACACTCGACTATCTATGCCCATATTTGGACTTCGTGCGTCTCTCTTTCTCGGGCCTCGTGTCTCTCATTGCGAAGATACGCGACTAGCAATATAGAAGTATTATATATATGGTTAATCCTCTTGCACAATGGACGGAATAGCGATAGCGATAGAAATAACAAAAGTTTTAAAGAGTTTATATTTAAAAATAAAGGTAGGAACAGCGGAATCTAACATAAAAACTACACATGTATCAATGCAGATCAGAAAATCGGAATAAGCAATAGCGATAAAATTTCCGACGAGTTGGAATTCTGTGTTAAAAACTGTGTTATTTCTATCGCTATCGCTATTCCTTCCATTGTGCAAGGGGCTTTATAGTACACTTTATGACCACAAACTACCAAATTACAAGATAAACTATTAACATTCAAATTTAAGGTTGGAGATTCGAGACTTGAGAGTTGAGAGCTGAAATTTGAGATTGGAGACGAGATCTAAGATTTGAGAAGCGACTATGAATTCGGGCCTATGTCTTTTTGATAACAGGTTTAAAGCCTCTTGCACAATGGACGGAATAGCGATAGCGATAGAAATAACAAAAGTTTTAAAGAGTTTATATTAAAAAATAAAGGTAGGAACAGCGGAATCTAACATACAAAAATACACATGTATCAATGCAGATCAGAAAATCGGAATAAGTAATAGCGATAAAATTTCCGACGAGTTGAAATTCTGTGTTAAAAACTGTGTTATTTCTATCGCTATCGCTATTCCGTCCATTGTGCAAGGGGCTTAAAACTGTCTCAGACTGGCTTTTGCTTCTCACGTGCAGGGGCATGCGCCATATATGCAAAGAAGAAGAAGAACAGGTTTAAAACCGTGGGTTGGGTTCCTGAGCCAAGGCACGGAGTTGTATATTTGTTTAAATTAAAGATAATAACAAAGTGGTGTAAAACACCGACAATTGTTCAAAAATATTCACAACGTAACTACGCACGTTCAACCGATACGGCTGGATACAATCCAACGTATAGATTAACAAAGTAGGTTTACAGAGCCATAATTGCAAAGAAGAACGATGTCTACTATTGTTGAATTAAGTCAATCAAGTGACACTTGGAAGTTACATCGTGTTCTTGGCACTGGAGGTTTTGGAGTTGTTGAACTTTGGGTACACATCCAAAGTGACAAAAAACTCGGTATGTAAAACCAAACTATGTTTATAAAAGTAAATATAAATAATATTTTTATAAGTTTGTTATGTTTCTCAATACAATAAGTATAATTTTAGCAATAAAAAAATGTAGGTGGGATTTTTCTGCATTAACGTCGGTACAGCAAAAAAGATGGTCCAATGAGATTGATATAATGAAACGTCTAAAGCATCCAAACATTGTAAAAACGGAACTTTTACCGTTTGAGCTTTCAAGTGTGGAAAAAGATTTGCCAATTCTTTGTATGGAATATTGTAAAAAAGGGAATCTGAGAAAAGTGTGTTATGTTTCAGTTTTTATTTTAATTGTGTATGCATTCGCATGCATGCATATGTTTTCCCATGTATACAAGTATATCTGTATAAATTGTCCTATCAGTTGTAATAATATCATAACACAAATATAATTTTTTTGTAGATCTTAAATCAACCAGAAAATTGTTGCGGTATTGATGAACCAGAAGCAATCAAGATCATGACTGAAATTTCATCAGCTGTAGAATATTTGCATTCTTACAATATAACTCATCGAGATTTAAAGCCAGAAAATATAGTTTTACAAGAAGAGAATAATGTGGTAAGATATAAATGTAGTTTATTCTATTTTGTAATAAATGGTTCTTTTTTTGTGTAAAGTTTCTCTGCTTTTTTACTTTTATGTGTTGCAGATATCATACAAGTTAATAGACCTTGGTTATGCCAAAGAACTTGGAGAGGCGAGTACATCTGCATCATTAGTTGGTACATTAAATTATATCGCTCCGGAACTTCTTTGGGGAGAGAAATATAGTTGTTCTGTTGATTACTGGAGTTTAGGAATATTGTTTTACGAACTTATAACTGGAACAAGACCATTTTTGCCAACGATGCAACATACTATGGAATGGTAAGAAACGACAAACTTAATGATAAAAGTTTATTACAAAATTGTAAGAAAAGTATATATATGTATATATACTTATATATATATATATATATATATATATATATTTAAATATACCTTTAAAGTTTGAAATTGATGCAGGATGAAATATATTCGAAATAAAAGCTACGACGATATTCGTGCTTATAAATCGGAAGGAAAAATAATTTTTCGAAAAGATATTCCAGATCCAACTCAGTTATCAAAGTAAGAATGTGTTACATATCTATTTATTTGCTTATAACATCGGCAAAGTTTGTTAATGTGTACATAAAATCAAAATTAGTTGAATATTTATTTTTATGTACATGTACATATATGTATATACATGTATGTATATACATATATACAGGGTGTCTGATAACGAATGAATCAGCCGAAGTGTGTAAGTAGATCAGGTTAATTAATCCGAACAGAAAAGTTATTTACCATTTTGGAAAATTTGCAATATTATTATTGAGATATGAATTAATAAATATGAGCCAATGAGCGCGCGGGAGATAATGATCGGACTTTATAGACTGCTCGCTGCATAACGCCGAATATCGCCCGATTGCAAGAAGCTGAGTCTCGCCGCGCTTGTTTCTTCGCCTCTTATTGCTAAAACATTGCATGAGAGAAGCCATTTTTTTACAGCTGATAATCGTGCACGCCTATAGAGTCCGATTATTACCCCCCGCGCGCTCATTGGCACACATTTATTGTTAGTGAGTGATAATTCATATCTCACTATTGCGAATTTTGCAAACTGGTAAATAACTTTTCTGTTCAGATTGACCCGATTTACCTACACACTTCGGCTGATTCAGGTATAAGTAAATCTGAGTCAAAAGTCCCCTGAAACTATTTTTTTCTATTACATATAATAAAGAAGTGCTTATTGAATAAATCAAGCCAATCAGCACTGACCTTCAGCCGGGCGCACGTCAGTGAGCCACGCGGAGCGCTCACGCACACCAGTGCGTGGTTCACTGAAGTGCGTTTGGCTAAAGGTCGGCGCTGATTGGCTTGATTTATTCAATAATTACTCCTTTATTATACATATGTAATAGAAAAAAATGGTTCAGGACTTTTCGACTCAGTTTTACTTTTTTTATTTGCCTACGAGAGATTTTACACTAATTGTCGGACACTCTGTATATATACAGTGCTCGCCAAAAGTTCTGGGCCACCTAAATAATTTTTGAATGATTCAAGATATTGGATTGCAATTTATAGGGATGAAATGGGATCGCAAAGTCTATCATTTAACCACAAAAACATTTATTTCCATACTACCGGGGGACGGGGGAAGAGAGAGAACGGAAAATGGAGTCGAGTGAGAGCTCGTTTGAAAAGGTTTTCCGAAACGAGAACAACGCGGGGTCATCAAAGTCTCTACGATTTTTTTTCGCGCAGAGTTATGATCATTTAAATATTTTTATTGAGAGTTTGCGATAGAGCGACTTACAGCAAAAATGTTAGGAAGATAAGGCTTCACGCGGGCACGTGTTTTTTTTATGTGAGTAGAAGTGCATGTAGGAGAGAGAGAGAGAAAGAAAGAAAGATGGGGGAAGAGAGAGAGAGAGAGAGAGAGAGAGAGAGAGAGAGAGAGAGAGAGAGAGAGAGAGAGAGAGAGAGAGAGAGAGAGAGA